CGGCGCCAGGGAGGCGCCGACGAGCGACGACGAGGGACGACGGAGGGCCGTGTCGACCTCGACGGCGTCGGGGAACAAAAATCGTTGACGACGGACGACAACCGACGACCTACGACCGATGGCCGATGATCGACAACCGACGACAGGCGACCGACGACGACCACCACGACGACGACCACGACCACGACCACGACCACGACGGCGCCGACGGACGACAGACGACGGTCGACGGCCGACGACGACGGAGGACGTACGACGAGGAGGACGACGACGACGACGACGAACGATGACGACGACGACCTACGACCTACCACCTATGACCGATGACCAACGACCGACGACGAACGATGACGACGACGACGACGACGACGACGACGACGACGACGACGACAACGACGACGATAGCAATCGACGACCAACGACGACCAACGACAGACGACCGACGACGGCCACGACGACGACGACAGCAACCGACGACCACGACGACGACGACGACGACGACGACGACGACGACGACGACGACGACGACGACGACGACGACGGCGGCGGCGGCGGCGGCGGCGACGGCGACGGCGACGGCGACGGCGACGGCGGCGGCGACGACGACGGCGACGTCGACGGGTGACGGGCGACGAACGACGACGGACGACGGACGACGGACGACGACAAACGTCGACGATGGAGCACCGCACCCCTGGGAACGGCCGCTGCCTGGTGCCCTTTCTCGAGGGGGCGGTGCTCCAGCGCCGTCGCAGTCCGTCGTCGTCGTCCATCCTCGTTCGTTCGCCATCGCCCGTCGCTGACCAGCGCCGCCAAGCGCTCGCCCTGCGCCCCCCGCACGCCGGAGGCCTCCGACGCCGAGCCCGAGGAGCCCGCCGTGCCGCCGCGGCCCTCGCCGCGGGGGCCTGGCGCCGGCGCGGCCGCCGCAGAGCCGGCCGCCAGCCCACCGGCGCTGGCGCCTTGCCGCACACTCGGCGGGCCCCCCCGAGCCGCAGCCGCTCGCCAGCCGCCACCGCGAGACGGCCTGCGAGCGGCGGTGGCGAGACCGACGGCGGCGAGGACGAGGGCGGGGAGGACGGCAACGGCGGCGGCGGCAACGGCGGCAACGGCGGCGGCTGCGGCGGCTGCGGCGGCGACGGGCACGGCGACGACGGCGGCGAAGGCCGCGGCGGCGGCGATGACTGCGGCAGCGGCGGCAACGACGACAGCGGCGACGGCGGCGGCGAGGGCAACGGAGGCGACGGCGGCGACGACGACGGCGCCATGCCGCACATCTTCACTCACGATGGACCACCGCCGCTTCTTCTCTTGTACTGGAGGGCACACGTCACTCTGCGATTCCAGACCACGGGGCGTCGCGACAAAAACATTGTAGCGAGTTTTGTATCACAGGTTCTGCCTGGGCCTACAGTGGCCGCGGGCCTCGGGGCCATAGAAACACAACCCGCCGCGAGAGAGGGGTGAGAGAGCTTGTGGGACGAAAAGCAACATAGAGGTGTAGTATTCACGTTGGGGACGCTCGATTCAGGCCCCGTGCCTATCACGGATGGATCCAGCTCGAGAAATTTACCACCCAAGGCGGAACGAGAGACCAGTCGTGACTCCATTGTACGCCGTGGGTTTTCTGTGCTGTCGGGTTCCAGGGCCTGTGCAGCGGCGGTGGGAGATTTCGCACGCCAATGTTTTGTCGTGGAATCGTGCTGCAGGTCCATGCCGTCTCGGCGCGGCACAACGTGGGCGCTGGCGCTCAAGGCAAAAGATCCCCGGCAGCCTCTGGAGACCCTCGGACGGCGCAGATCGCTCGTTTGGCGACGGAAACCACAGCAACTTGCCTTGAGATTGCTGCCGCAATGGGTCAGGCGTCCCACACGTTGGAAGGACTGTAATGCTGCTCGTGCTCACTGATCCTCTGGGACCTTCCCGTGATCGCAGAGTGAGGGCCAGGGCCGCATCAGCCCTGTCCAGCCACACAACCAGCCCTCCCTTCATGGTTCATGGTCTTTTTCCTCCTGCCCAATGGCTGCCCCCCCCGCCTCTTCCTCCCCCTCCTCTTGAACGTCCTTGTCTCCTCTTCCCCCATCCCTTCCACCACCTCCCCCCCCTCCCTTCTCCTCCCTCCTCCCGATCCTCCTTCCGCAGAGGGGAGGACGACACGGTGGCCTTGAGCGCAGTTATTGTTACAGGCGGGCAGTGGCCGTGCATGCGTCAATGTTCGGCTGGATACGAAGTTCCCGGGCTCTGTGCACGATGTGGTTATGGTAATGAATTAGTATACCATCGTACGTGGAGTTGCTTGGAAAAGTGTGGCCACACGTTTTTTCGCGATAGTCAGGATTTGGCTGAGCAGGTCAGCGTCAGCCATTAGGCCAGCCCCTCGTTTGGGCTTCGAGGCCAGCCGAGGCCCTCGGTTGCAGCTTTTCCCTTTGTTGCGAAAACACAAACCACTCACAAAATTATCCCAGTGCGACCCTACCTAGGAGTTGGAGCCCCAAGGAAAGCAGCATTAGTAGTAACAGTAAAGCTCAGCTAAAGCTAAGCTACAGCTAAGCTAAAGCTAAGCTACAGCTAAGCTAAAGCTAAGCTACAGCTAAGTTAAAGCTAAGCAAAAGCTAAGGTAAAGCTAAGCTGAGGCTAAGCTAAAGCTAAGCTAAAGTTAAGCTAAAGCTAAGCTAAAGCTAAGCTACTGCTAAGCTAAAGCTAAGCTAAAGCTAAGGTAAAGTTGAGCTAAAGCTAAGCTAAAGCTAAGCTTGAGCTAAGCTGAAGCTAAGCTGCAGCGAAGGTAAAGCTAAGCTAAAGCTAAGCTAAAGCGAAGCTAAAGCTAAGCTACAGCTAAAGCTAAAGCTAAGCTAAAGCTAAGCTAAAGCTCCCAGGGGACTGGGGGAACCGCTCCCAGGGGACTGGGGGAACCGCCCGGGGCGGGTTGCACTGCCTGGCCCCTCTTAAGCTACAGAGTAAGAGGCCTTCTAGGCAGAGCCTAGGTAGGGAAAAAAAAAGGCTTCCGAGTTTCAATTATGTGATTTTCAGATCGTCCCGCATTGGAGACGCCTGTGGTTATATGAACGTTTAGTCTAGGGGTGTTTTCTCGGACGGCCCTCGGCGTCGAGGGGTTGGGTTGGAGCTGATTTCGTGGCCCCTGAGTGCCAGTCGGGATCGTGGCAGCCATGCGTAGGAGTTGCCTGCAAGCACTTGGCGTCGCTCGGAAGTGAGCACGCTTTCTCGGCGAGGAGTATCGAGGAGCATTTGGGGCCATCTTGCCCCCACAAAATAATTATCCCGGCAAAGCAACCTAACAGCGATGTGTAGAAGCATATATGGAAACATTCCCTTTAAGATCCAGATGATAATCCAGTTGTAGAATTCTCCTGTTCTCGCAGTCGCAGTCGCATTCGCGATGACAGTCGCAGTGGCAACGGCAGTCACAGTCACAGCCTCAGCGTCAGCTTGCCTCAGTATCAGCCTGCCTCAGCCTCAGCCTCAGCCTGCCTCAGCCTCAGCCTCAGCCTGCTTCAGCCTCAGCCTCAGCCTCAGTCTGCCTTCAGCCTCGGCCTCAGCCTCAGCCTCAGCCTCAGCCTCAGCCTCAGCCTCAGCCTCAGCCTCAGCCTCAGCCTCAGCCCTGCCTCAGCCTCAGCCTGCCTCAGCCTCAGCAGCATCAGCCTCAGCCTCAGCCTGCTTCAGCCTCAGCCTCAGTCTGCCTTCAGCCTCGGCCTCAGCCTCAGCCTGCCTCAGCCTCAGCCTGCATCAGCCTCAGCCTCAGCCTCAGCCTGCCTCAGCATCAGCCTGCCTCAGCCTCAGCCTCAGCCTGCCTCAGCCTCAGCCTCAGCCTGCTTCAGCCTCAGCCTCAGTCTGCCTTCAGCCTCGGCCTCAGCCTCAGCCTGCCTCAGCCTCAGCCTGCATCAGCCTCAGCCTCAGCCTCAGCCTGCCTCAGCATCAGCCTGCCTCAGCCTCAGCCTCAGCCTGCCTCAGCCTCAGCCTCAGCCTGCCTCAGCCTCAGCCTGCCTCAGCCTCAGCCTCAGCCTCAGCCCTCAGCCTGCCTCAGCCTCAGCCTGCCTCAGCCTCAGCCTGCCTCAGCCTCAGCCTCAGTCTGCCTCAGTATCAGCTTGCCTAAGCCTCAGCCTCAGCCTGCCTCAGCCTCAGCCTCAGCCTGCTTCAGCCTCAGCCTCAGTCTGCCTTCAGCCTCAACCTTAGCCTCAGCCTCAGCCTCAGCCTGCATCAGCCTCAGCCTCAGCCTCAGCCTCAGCATCAGCCTGCCTCAGCGTCTGCCTCAGCCTGCCTCAGCCTCAGCCTCAGCCTCAACCTCAGCCTCAGCCTCAGCCTGCCTCAGCCTCAGCCTGCCTCAGCCTCAGCCTCAGCCTGCCTCAGCAGCAGCCTGCCTCAGCCTGAGTTGGCTCCAGGCATTCAAAATGTTGCCCGGGAATGGCGTTCTGGGAACTCGAAGAGCACGAAGTGGCCTACAGTTGGCTCCGGGCATTCAAAATGTCGCCCGGGAATGGAGTTCTGGGAGCTCGAAGAGCACGAAGTGGCTTACAGTTGGCTCCGGGCATTCAGAATGTGGCCAGGGAATGGAGTTCTGGGAACTCGAAGAGCACGAAGTAGCCTACAGTTGGCTCCGGGGCATTCAAAATGTGGCCCGGGAATGGTGTTCTGGGAAGTCGAAGAGCACGAAGTGGCCTACAGTTGGCTCCGGGCATTCAAAATGTGGCCCGGGAATGGAGTTCTGGGAACTCGAAGACCACGAAGTGGCTTACAGTTGGCTCCGGGCATCCAAAATGTACGCTGGGAATGGAGTTCTAGCAGCGCCAAAAGCGATTTCGCGAGGATGTCCAAGGCGATTTGGGCTTCGACGGCAGCCGCCCCGGGTCCCGCCCCGACCCCCCTAAGGAGTCATGATGCCCACTAGAAACCTATCAGTCTTCGCTGTTAGGTAAAGACGAAACCGACGCGACGCATGCACGGGGAATGAAAGTCCGAGCGATGGCAAGCGCTTCATGTCCGCCCTTCAGGCGCCTGGAGGTCGGGCCTCAAGCGGCTGGCGCTGCAGGCCTTCTCGATGGAGGGCGACTGCCGCAGGGAGCTGCAGGAGCGGCCAGCCCCGCTGGGAGGGGTCGCTCGGAGAGGTTGGTATTAACGTCAACGTCAGGGGCCGTCGTCGCTTTCGTTGTCGTCATCGTCGTCGTCGTCGTCGTCGTCGTCGCCGTCGCCGTCGCCGTCGCCGTCGCCGTCGCCGTCGCCGTCGCCGTCGGCCGTCGGCCGTCGGCGTCGGCCGTCGTCGTCGTCGTCGCCGTCCGTCGGCCTTCGCCGTCGCCGTCGCCGTTGGCGTCGCCGTCGGCGTCGGCGTCGGCGTCGGCCGTCGTCGTCGTTGTCTTCGTCGTCGTCGTCGTCGCCGTCGCCGTCCGTCGCCGTCCGTCGGCCTTCGCCGTCGCCGTCGGCGTCGGCGTCGTCGTCGTCGTCGGCGAAGGCGGAGGCCGCGCCGCGGCGGAGGGCGCCCCGCGGTCGGCCCCGAAGCCGGCGGCGCCCTGCGCGGCGCCGCCGCACGGCCTGCGGCGGGGCGCCGCCCCGTGCGCCGCGGGCGGCCTTGCCCGCACCCCCGGGTGCCCCAAGGTGCCCCCACCGTGTGGTGGGCCGATGGCTCCGCACTGGCTGGCCGCCCCGGCCGCTCCACAGCGACGCGCCTCGCCATGTGAGTGCCCTCCCCTCCCTCCCTCCTCCCTCGCGGCCGCTTTCGCCCGTCTTCCGCTCCTCCTGCCGCTGGTGAATTTGCGCGTTCCGTTGCCCAGACCGCCTGTGCGCACGTGCAGACTGCCTCTGCCGCGCTGTGACGTAAAAAGCGTGGTGGGTCGATGCGGGATCGGGGTCACCGCACGGTTCGGGGGCCAGGGTCGTTCTCCGGGGGGTGTCTCGGGCGACTGGGCCCCCCGAGGTCCCGACGCCGCGCGAGATCTCTGCGGATTTCGGCGTCGCCGCCGGGGCTGTCACCACACTTGTTTTGGGACTCCCAAAGAGCAGATTTGTTCGGGCGTCGAGGAATGGGAATGGGCTACATGGGGATACCGGAGAAAGTTGCACTTGTGGGGCCCTAGAAGGGCCTGGAGGGCCCAAATGCAGCACGAAAGGTGCACGCTTCTCCCCCGAAGTATAGCCAAGCAAAATCATTAACGCCCGGCCCGAGAATTCTGGCAGGTGGTGTATCAGGCTCGTTCGGATGTTCTGCAGTTTCGAGAGAAGCGTGGTCATCAACCCCGTGGACTAGGCAGCGACCGCGCTGGCTCGGAGCAGCAGACCACCGCTGCGTCCTTCCATGTCGGGCCCCGCGCCAGAATTTCGGCCAGCTCTCGCACTGGCGCCGCATGGTGATAACACGGCTCGTCCGCGCATTATATATTGCCTCTTTGTCAGCTGAAAAATAGAACCGCGTCATGATGTCACTTGCTCATTGCTATCATCGCTGGCCCTGGAGAGGACAGCCCTTCATGTTCATACCGAGTGTTTTCTACGATGACTGGCCTTGTTGCGGCTGGCCTATTGTATCATACGATGGTTGGTTCGGGCATAGTTTATTCTACTCCCGTCTTTCATTGGCGGGCCTTCGTGTGGCTTGGCTGCCGCGCCATCAATATCATTGCGTATTGTTGCGGCCTTCCTAAACAAAAGTGAGCGAGGCGGCGGATACATGCACCTTTCGCCGTCTGTCCAGCGCTAGCTCCGCATCACCACCAAACATCATCAGCATCATCAGCATCATCACCATCTTCTTGCAGACTGACATCAGCAGCAGCAGCATCACTGTCATCAGCATGACCAGAACCAACATCATCACCATCATCACCACCATCATCATCACCAGCACCATCACCATCATCACCGTCATCGACATTATCATTTGTCGCGCGGGGGTTCTGACGCGTTGTGATTACCCTGGGCAGTGGAGTTGGAAAGCAAATTGCATGCTCTGTCGCGAATGGCAGCGAGAGGGCCAGCGATAAGAGGAGAAAAGGTGAGCGTGGCTCCAGCTGGGCCCGCGAGCCCCCTCTCGAGCCTCTTGCTCATGGGTCGGGCGGCCCGAAGCGCTGCCAACCAGGATCGGGCGTCCGAGTGACACCGTTGGACTGCGGCACAGTGTTTTGCACGGGACAGATGGCGCGGCCGTAGGTTGCGGCAAAAATGGGAGTGGTTAGGGCGACGTCCTTGCGCTGGCCGCGGGCCTGATCTACACGAAGGCGACCGCTGGCAGCGACCACATCATGGTTCTGCTCAGGAGCGATGGCACAGCGCTGGTTTTCGGCGACAGGCGCCGGGGCGAGTACGATATTCCAGCGTTGGTCGCAGGCTTGACCTAAAAGGAACGCGGCCGTTGAACTTTGCCACACAGTTTTGCTCAGGAGCGGTGGCAAAGTCATGACTTTCGACGAGAACGGCGATGGCCACGACGGCCTTCCAGCGTTGGTCACAGGCCTGACCTACTCTCGGGTGGCCACCAGACTTTGCAACACTGTTCTCCTCAGAAGCGATGGCATGGCAATGGCCTTCGGGGAGCGCTGGTCGCCAGTTTTACCTACACACAGACGGCCGCTGGAGGTAAATATCAGAGTGAGGGGGCCGAACGGTCATTCATTGTCCCTGGGTGCGTGGCTGAAGTGGGGATCCGTGGTGGGGATTCTGCTTGTTGCGTTGTTATGTGTTTGTTTGTTTGTTTGTTGTTTGTTAGTTTGTTTGTTTGTTTGCTTGTTTTTTGCTTGTTTGTTTGTTTGTTTGTTTGTTTGTTTGTGTGCTTGTTTGTTTGTTTGTTTGTTTGTTTGTTTGTTTGTTAGTTGTCGTCGTCCCCCCTGCGACCCGCCCGAGACCCACCCGCGACCCATACCGCGACCCACCCCGCGACCCGCCCGCGACCCACCCCGTGACCCGCCCGCGACCCACCCCGCGACCCGCCCGCGACCCACCCCGTGACCCGCCCGCGACCCACCCCGCGACCCACCCCGCGACCCACCCCGCGACCCACCCCGCGACCCACCCCGCGACCCACCCCGCGACCCACCGGCGACCCACCCCGCGATCCACCCCGCGACCCACCCGCATTGCTTTAACGAAAAAATCGGCGCCTGCGGCGGGCTCACTGCATGATTTGTAAAAGTTAGGCGCCTGCGGCGGGCTTCTTCAGAGCCTCGCAGACTGACGGCGCCCTCGCCGCCCCCTCGCTCTTAACTACCGCAATTGCGGGGTGCTACGTACAATTGTTCTCAGGAGCGATGGCACCGTCGTGGCATTTGAAAATCGCAGGGTCCTGTGCGACTTCCTGGCGTTGGACACAGGCCTGACCTACACGAAGGCGGCCGCAGGATTTGGCCACACGGTTCCTCTGCGGCGCGACGGCATGGCAGCGGTTTTCGGCGACAATGACCAGGGCCAACACGTTGTTCCAGCATTGGTCGCGAATTTGTCCTGCGCACATGTGACCGTTGGAGGTGACCATACGAGTCTCCTGATCAGCTATGGCAACGTCTTGGCGTGCGGCCGCAATTGCGAGGGCCAGTGCAACGTTCCGGCGCTGGCCGCAGGCTTGATTTACTCAGCAAAGTTGGTGCCATGTTTTCCCCTGCAGGCGTCACTCGACGGCGCTTCGATGCAGCTTCGGCCACCGAGCCGCGCGATTTGACGTGGTCTTGCCACAGAGTCCGCTACTCAGCGGAGCGACAGCCAGTGACGCGATAGCGAGCGTATTTTGGGCCAGTCTGCTTGGGTGATTGTGTCATGCGTTGGGTCCGATGCGAGCCGCCTTGTCTCTCCTCTTTTCATTTGCACCCGCCCACGATTGGGCAGCCGCGACATCGCAAGAATGGGGACTGTCTCAGAGGATTGCTTCATCAGGGGCTTTTCATCGCCAGCGCGTTCGAATTAAGAGGTTTACATTTTGATTCGAGGCTCCAAGACGAGCTACACGAAGGTTGCAACCAAGCTAATAACAAGCTACTCCAGAACATATGTCTGAAGACTTGTTACAGGCGATGGATGCGCAAGTTCAAAGACAAGGGAAACAGCCTCAAGGCATGCAACATCGAAACAATATAAGCTAGCAACGGACTGTATTAAACAGTGGCGTAAGCTGCATACGAAACATACGCCAGCCAAATGGAATCATCTGTAATCAAAACAAGGCCACGCTCAAAGGCAGCGGAGCGCACGCTACAAGCAAAATGCTGCAGAACGGCAAACTTCGCGACATAGAGGGTACGTGGAAGCGAACGTCAAGCAACACGCAAGGTAAAGGCAAGTTGCATGTTGGCGAGTTGATGGCAGGCCCCAGGATGCAAAAAGCAAGCGGAAACAGTTCAAACGTAAGCTAAAGCCAGGTCGCGGACATGATGAGACCAGGGAAGGGTGAGTTGAGAGACAAGCTAAGCAGGCAAAGCCGAGCAGCTCGAACATAGGAAACACCCCACAGTGTTCCGTGAGGAACTTGGAGAGATCTCCTGGCACGGGGGCGTATTTCTGGAGCCCGCCCTCGGGCTGCAATCGGCGCCAGCCCTCTGCAAATACTTCAGGCATGCTCACGTAACAGACCAGGGTGCGGGCACAAGCGAGGAGAAATACGAGGAGGAGCAGCAGCAGGAGCAACGGCAGCACGAAGAAGGAGGAGGACGAGGAGGAATGAGGTGGTGGAGAAGGCCGCTGCCCCGTACGAGCAGGACGGTCGCGCTCGCACGTCGCCAGTGTATTTCCCGCTGCTTGCATGCAGAATATCCGCCTCGATTGCATCACGCCCTCCCAGGGTTCACTTCGATCCGATCGATCCGATGTGATATAGATTTCGGCCAGTTCGATCCGATTCGATTTCGATTTCTCGGCGATCCGATGCGGTCCGATGCTTACATGGCGTTGTTGGTCATCCTGGCGAAGCCGAACCGATTCGATTTCGACGCCGATGCGGCCCGATCCGACGCACATCCCGATTCGATATGATTTCCCGATTCGATGCTGCTTGATCCTGCCTCCTTGTAATTCCCACCCACCCCTCATGGCCGCCCCCCCCCGACGAGCGTCTGCGGAGGCCAGCACACGCCTGCGCGATGTCCAAGGGCCCCCACTCGGGCAGCCCAGGACCCAGAGGCGCCAATTTCTCGATGGTCCAGAGGACTGCGCAGCGCCCCGGGGTTGTGCCGATCCTCCCGTCAGCATCGTCGGCAGCACTTGGCAGGCCCACGTCGCGATGGTTCCAGGCGCTCGCTTCTGACACCGCGTGGGTCGGTCGGCCTCGAACGTGTCGCGGGCTTCCGATGGCGCAGGTCGATGGCCATCGACCGACGCCGGGCCACCGGCGGCGTCCAACCTCGGTTGTCTGCGCCGGGCCGCCGCCGCGGCGACAGGGCGCGAGCTTGCCGATCGCGCCGCGATCCCGAGCGCGTCCAAGCGTCGCGAGAACGAATCGCATCGTCGGCCTCGGCTTCCTCGTCATGCCGCTTCCCCTCCCGCTCCCTCCTTCCGCGCTCTTCCCCGCCGCCACGCGGCCGCGGTGGGGAGCCCCGACTCGCCCCATCGCTGCCCCCAACCCGCCCCCCCCCCCCCGACCTCGGACTCCGCCGACGACCTGTGGCGGCGGCGACGACGACGTCCGGCGACGGCGGCGACGACAACGCTCACTCCTGGGATCTGGGCGCCGCAACTTTTTAGCATCCAACGATGTTGCCCTGTATCGGGCCCCAGGGCCATCACGGATCGATCTGGCTCGAGAGATGCAGCAGAAAGATGGGGTCTAGGTTTGGGTTCGCAGTGTTGCAATCTTTTCGCGACGTCGGGTCTCAGGACACGAGCACAGACGTGAGCGACGCCAGGGGAAGGGAAGCGCCGGGCAGCGTGCGTCGAGTAGGCTGGCACTCCCCTGAAATCCGGCCTGGTGGGGGCGGCGGCGCCGGTGAGGCGGTGGGCTGCTGAGCGGCGGCGGCGTCGTGGGGAGGAGTCGCAGACGGGCCTCGGGAGGAAACAAAAGAAAACACTGGGGTGTGTCAAACTCAAAGACGGCCGACGGCGGCGGCGGCGGCGACGACAGCGGCGACCCCGCCGCCGCGCAGAACCCGCGGAGCCTCCGCCGGGAGCAGGTCGAGGAGCTCTGCCGCGAGCGGGCGGCGGCGGAGTCCGAGAGCGCGAGGCGGGCTCAGGATTGGTTGCCGCCATGCGCCGCCAGCGGCTCGGGGGTCACCAGCTGGCCACCTTTCTGATCTTCCAAGGCTTCGCGTCTTTACAAAACGCGACGGAAGTTTTCTGGCCCTCTCTGGCCCCCAGATGTTTGGCCCTGGGGCCGTCAAAGAACTACTGGGGAGGAGAAACGGATCTCCAGAAATGAAAGAGCGTGTTCTACCGCTGCTGGCGGAAAACCGGGGGGGGTCACTACCGGTTCGAACCCCTCCCCCCCCCCCCTCCGGAAAACCGGGGGGGTCACTACCGGTTCGAACCCCTCCCCCCCCCCCCCCCAGCTCATCATGAAAAGGGGGGGGGGTCACTACCGGTTCGAACCCCCCCCCCCTCGAAAACCGAGTGGGGGTGCGGACAGTGGTGGGGACGGTGTTGGTGGGGACAGTGGTGAGGGGACAGCGGGACAGTGGTGGGGACAGTGGGGGGACAGTGGGACAGCGGTGGGGACGGTAGTGGTGGGGACAGTGGTGGGGACAATGGTGGGAACAGGGGGGACAGTGGACAGTGGTGGGAACGGTGGTGGTGGGGACAGTGGTGTGGGGACAGTGGGAATGAGGTGGAAACACTGGGACAGTGGAGGGTACAATGGTGGTGGGGACACTGGTAAAGGCGTCGGCGAGGACGGCGGTGGGACAATGGGACAGAGGTACAGTGGGGACAGTGGTGGGGACAGTGGGGACAGTGGTGGGAACAGTGGGACAGCTCAGTGGGACAGCGGAGGAGTCAGTGGGACAGTGGGGACAGTGGGGATAGGCAGTGGTTGGGTCCGTGGAGACAGTGGGGAGAGTGGAACCGTGGTGGGAACAGTTGTGGGAACAGTGGGGACAGTGCGACAGTGGTGGGGGCACTGGTGGGGACAATAGGGACGGTGGTGGAACCAGCGGGGGCAGTGGTGGTGAGGACAGTGGTGCTGGGAACAACAGTGGGGGATGTCATGCGAGCGGTGGTAGGGACCGGGAGTCGTTTGCTGGCGGTGCGTGGGGGGGGGGTCGAACCGGTAGTGACCCCCCTCCGGTTTTCGAGGGGGGGGGGGGTTCCAACCGGTAGTGACCCCCCCCGGTTTTCCGGATCCGGAGGGGGGGGGGTGGAGGGGTTCGAACCGGTAGTGACCCCCCCCCGGTTTTCGAGGGGGAGGGGGGGGGGAGGGGTTAGGGGAGGGGGGGGGGGGGGAAGGGGGGGTGGGGCAGGGGGGGGGGATTTTCAGGGGGGGGGGGAGGGGGGGGGGGAGACCCCCGGGTTCCGGAGGAAAAGGTTGGCAATTTTCCACAGTAAAGCGGCGGTGGATCACGCTCTCTCCCAGAAATGGATCCAGGCTTCTGGGGAGCCACGTTGCGAAACACAATACGAGTTCGGATGTCTGGATTGGCCAAGCTGATCCTGGGTACGGATGGATATAATGTAGGATGGCGATTATGAGATGTGTGGGGGAGGGGGGGGGGCGTCACGCAGAAGAGCCTTGGTTGATGAGGGTTCCAGACCTGCTTGCAGGCGTCGTCGTCGCCGTCATTGAGATTGTTTGGTTGTCCTTGCTAAAATCGCTAGTAGCGGCAGAAGACTACCTTTTCTATTCCCCGGACCGTCCTTGCACTTGGGGGTTCTTACTTGGGTTACCATGAAGTTGGATGGATGTGTCGGGGTGTCGGCTGGTGCCCGGTTGGTGCGGGCTCGTTGCCGCTTCGTTGCCGCCTCGTGCGCAGGGTGGTTGTGTCGGGGTGTCCGTTGGTGTTTGCTTGGTGCCGCCTTCTTGCCACCTCGTGCGCTGGGTGGGTGTGTCGGGGTTTCAGCTGGTGCTGCCTCGTTGCCGCCTCGTGCGCTGAGTGGGTGTGTCGAGGAGTCGGCTGTTGCCAGGTGGGTGACGCCTCTGTGCCGCCGCGTACGTTGGTTGGGTGCGACGGGTTTCGGCTGGTGCCGAATTGGTGCCAGTTCATTGCCGGCTCATTGCCGCTTCGTGGGTAAGTGGGTGGGTGAGTGTGCGTGCGTGCGTGCGTGTGTGTGTGTGTTATTCCTCCCCCCTTTCCTTCCCCTCTTTGTTAATTCAAGCTTCGCGCGGCCCGCTTAGCTTCGACCGAAAGAGGTGCGCTCTCGACCCGCGAATCAAAAGTGTGTGTGTGTGTTGGGTTGGGTTGGGTTGGGTTGTTGGGTTGGGTCGGGTTGGGTTGTGTTGTGTTGTGTTGTCTGTGTTGTGTGTGTTGTGTGTGTGTTTGTGTGTGCGGTGTGTGTGGGTATGCTTGTGTGGGTGGGTGGGCGGGTGGGCGGGTGGGTGTGGGTGTGGGTGCGGGTGTGGGTGTAGGTGTGGGTGCGTGTGCATGTTCGTGTTCGTGTGCGTGTGCGTGTGCGTGTGCGTGTGCGTGTTCGTGTGCGTGTGCGTGTGCGTGTGCGTGTGAATGGGTGTGGTTGTGGGTGTGTGTGTGTGTGGGTGCGTGTGTGTGTGAGAGTGACTGTGTGTGGGTGTGTGTGGGTGTATGTGGATGTGTGTGTGTGGGTGTGTGTGGGTGTGAGCGGTGTGTGTGTGCGCTGTGTGTGCGGTGTGTGTGAGTGGTGCGTGTATGGGTGTGGTGTGTGTATGGGTGTGTGGATGTGTTTTAGTGTGTGCGTGTGGATGCGTGTGTGTGTGCGTGTTCGTGCGTGTGCGTATGCGTGTGCGTATGCGTGTGAGTGTATGCGGGTGCGTGTGTGTGTGTGTGTGTGCGTGTGCGCGTTCGTGTGCGTGTGCGTGTGCGCGTGCGTGCGCGTGTGCGTGTGCATGTGTGTGTGTGTGTGTGTGGGTGAGTGTGTGTGTGGGTGTGTCGGGGTTTCGGTAGGTGCCCTGTTGGTGCCGCCTCGTCGTCGCCTTGTGCGCTAGGTGGTTTTGCTGGGGTTTGGGCTGGTGCCTGGTTGGTACCACATCGTTACCGCATCGTTGCCGTATTTCTCGTCACATATTTTGCACAACAAAGGTTACACATCAACAGTACAAAAACTTCCTGTTTGAGGCCCATGCTGGCAAACATTGTTACACCTAAGGTTCGCTCTTAATCGTCATCCTACATTAAGTGCCTCCCTGGCGAAACCCCGAGGGCGTACACATCGATCTTAGGCCTGGCCACGGGGTGGTCAGTTGACGTCCCCCGCGCTGATGTTCGAGGATCGAGGGGTCGAGAATCGGGGTTCCTGGTCGGTGCTTGGTCCTTGTCAGGCCTCCACGGGCCTGGCATTCGGTGACCTTCCGGGGCCCTTGGAGACCTGGACAGGCCTCTGGAGATCTCCCGATGACCTATTGCGTCGTCGTCGTCGTCATCGGCATCATCGCTACCGCCGCTGCCGTCGTCGTCGTCGCCGTAGTAGTTTTCTGAGGGGGAGGGGGGTTGGAGGCAAAGGAGGAAGAGGACGAAAGCGGACTGAAGACGGAGGAGTCCGGAGGACGGTTTTGATTACGAGGTCTCGCGTTGCAGAAGGGTGCGTTGAATTGTCCAAGTTGGACCAGGAGCAAAAGTTGCAGCCCGACCCTGGGAAAGGCCATGGAGAGTTCGCCTTGTTAAGCACCCTTGGAAACGGTTATGCAGGTTGATGTTCGGCTGGACAGAAGGAGGAAGGGGAGATTGTGAAGAAGGGAGAGGGGTCCATCCAAGTAGTCTGCCACATCGTCATGTGGAAGTCGCAGCCTCGGAAGAACGAACTCTAGTTCCATCTAACCGTCAGCCGATGCCGTTGCAGAAAGGCAGCGGCAGCTGCAGAATGCCGAACACTGTTGAGCAAGGAGAACGATGACACGACAATATGTGATGACGATCGTGCACAATGGCTAGGAAGTGAGGGGGGACGCTCTGCTGGGCATTGGTCTTATGCCCGCATTGCGGGAAAGTGCGCCCTCGTGGTGGATGGTGAGAAAAAGACTCGGGACTCCCAGCGAGGGCTCGTTGGGGAGTCCGAAACAACCATCTTGCAAGCACTAGCCCGTGATTTTTGATGTCTCTGAAACTACACTCCGAAAATATTGTCTGGTGTGGAACTGAAACACCGTAGCATGTGAACGAGCCACCGTTTCAACGTGGCTGAAGACGTAAATGAGAATGACGCTTTTGCAGTTTCCCTGTGTTGGGAGAGATGCTGGAGGGAAAAGTTTGGAGCCCCAGCAAGAGGTTGCTGGGCATTCCGACGCCGCCTCGCACAGCTAAAGTACCAATGGCTGTTTGCCGGGTACTAGAGCGGCTTGATGGTGGATGGTGAGCGGAAAAGTCGGAAAGTATCGGGGGTCCCAGCTAGAACGCGGTGGGTAATCCAGAAACCCATTTTGCAAGCATTATGGTGTGTAATGTGTATTGTTTTGAAGCCGAAATGTCACGATGCATTGAAGTATACATTGCGTCAGCATGTTTGACATTCAAGCATGTGCAGCCACTGCGCAAGAGTGCATCGATTTGAAAAGTCGAAGAAAGCGGTCATTCCTCGTGAACAGTCGGAACATGCGTCGATATGTTTGGAAGGAGTGAAAATGTTCCACCCCTGCGCTATCGCCTTCAGCCATCGACATTGGCGTGGTCTCGCCGGTCTGGTCTATGGTTTAGTGATGCGCGGTTAAGTTTGGACGCCCTTGAAGACCCGCCGTTCACATCAACGGTCGCTCCAGCTCCCTTTCCAATAGAGGTCCCGCTGGTCGGTCCGCGGCCAAGCAATGCGCGGTTCACTCTAGGCGCCACTGAGCCAGTGCTGGCGCATGCCCGTGTGCTCGGTGCGAGTTCCAAGCCTCCAAAGGGCAAACCGTGACGTCGTAGACACGGATTCGTCGTGGACTGCGAGGCGCCCCACGTGTTATTTTTGAAATGTCGCCTTCTCTTCCTTCTCCTAGTTTTCCTTCTTCCGCGTGCCCTCCTCACATCTCGCATATTGTAGGTATCTTCGCCCATCCGTCCTCCCTCGTCTCGTTCCCGCCTCCTCGCTCCCTCGAGAAGGATGAGAGGCAGAGGAACCTAGGAGGAGGAGGAGGAGGAGCAGGAGGAGCAGCAGCAGCAGCAGCCGGAGGGGGATGTGGACGAGGAGGTGGAAAACGACGACGGGAAACGTCCCGGACGAGGATGAGGAACACGACGAATGGAAAACGACGACGACGACGACGACGACGAGAAAGACGACGAGGAGGAGGAGGAAAACGACGAGGGATTTGTTTCGAGGGGGAGCGAGGGGAAAAGCAGGCGGGAGAGGCAGAAGAGAGAATGAGAGGCCGAGGGAGGAGGAAGCGGGGCGGGCCCCCGTGCGAGGACGACAGGCGCGGAAGAGGTGGAAGAGGCGGAGGAGGGGCAGGAGGAGAGGGGAAGAGGAGGAGAAGGAGGCGGAGGCGGAGGTGGAGGAGGATGGGGAGGCGGCGGAGGTGTAGGTGGAGGTGGAGGTGGAGGTGGAGGTGGAGGTGGAGGTGGAGGTGGAGGAGAAGGAGGCGGAGGTGTAGGTGGAGGAGGCTGTGGAGGAGGAGCAGGAGCGGGATAGGGGTGGGGTAGGGGAGGAGCGCGAGGAGGCGAAGGAGGAGGAGGTATCATTCGCTCTCCAGGAGCTCTGGATGGACCTCACCCGCGTCAGGAAGCGGGTGGCTGTCCTGGCACACAACATGCACGTTGCGCCAGGCCGCGGTGCACCGCGACAACCTGCCTGTTGCCCCCTTCCTTTTCCTGCTTCGTCCGTCTCATCATCCATCCTTCTCCTCCCTCTCCTATTACCGTCCGTCCTTTTCCTCCTCGCTCTTCTGTTTCCCATCCCTCCTCGCCCCTCTTCCTCCATCCACCTCTTCCTTATCTTCCACCTCCACCTCAGAATCACCATTCCTTGTCACTGCTCCCCACTCAGCGCTTGCACTGAGGAGCATTTTTTTGCTACTAAGAATCTGCCCTGTCTATTGGTCCAGCAGCCATGTTGCCGCCGTCGCCGCCCCCTGCCCGCCTCGTCGCCGCCCGTCGTCTGGGCCTGTCTGTCGCTCCGGCGGCTGTGTGGCCGCCGCCGCCGCCCCGTCGCAGCCTCGGCATAGATTTACCACACAGAATGCACCACATACATTGCACATCATGGACTGCACAACCTGGATTCTCCTTTCTAAAAACAGAATAGACTCTACCCCCCCCGGCGTTATCGCCCCCCTTTCGGATATGTAAATCACATATGATCCTGACCACATGTCCATCCAAAATAGGAAATCACAATGTCCCAGGCCAACCGGTATCGCCCCCCCTGAGGTTCCTTTGTAAAAAACACTATACGGTGACATGTTTTGTTCTAACATAACACTTTTTCGCGAATCCCGTGCAAAAAATTTGACGAAGTGCACACGCGCGCGTCGTCGTGCGCGCATGCCGAAATCCTTCAAAAACCCTCGGTGACGGAAGGATTTCGCAATCGAGTTTCCAAACCAACATACAAAAACACAGGGTTTCGCAACACTGATACCCTAAAAAAGCTTACGCGCTAGCTCTTGCGAAATCTTAAGAAAACCATAGGTTTTTCAAGATTTCCACAAAACGCTATCAAACGGGCTTCGCGCGCGCACATGTCGAAATCTGTCGAACGCCCTTGCGCGTGTGCCGTCGCGAGAATCCTCTGCAAAAAATGGGACGAAGTGCAGACGCGCGCGTCGTCGCGCGCATATGCCGAAATCCTTCAAAACCCATCGGTTTCGGAAGGATGTCAAAATCGTGTGTCCGAAAAACCTACTAAAACACAAGGTTTCGTAACACGGATGTTCAACAAAAGCGTGCGCGCGCGCTCGTGCGTCGTCGTCGTCGCCGTCGCCGTCCTCCTTCCTCCCGCGTCGTCGTCGTCGTCGCCTACGTCGTCCTCTGTCTTTCCTCGAGTTCGTCGTCGTCGTCCTCTTTGGCGTCGTGGTCGTTTCCGTCGTCGTTGTCGCCGTGGTCGTCCTTCCTCCTCCTCCCTAGTCGTCGTCGTCGTCGTCCGTCGTCGGCGTCTCGTCGTCGTCCCTTCTATTTCGTCCCCGTCGTCGTCGTCGTCGTCGTCGTCGTCTTCCCTCCTCCCTCGTTGTTGTCGTCGTCGGCGTCGCCGTCCTTCCTCCCTCCGTTCGCGTCGTCGTCCTCCCTCTTCGTTGTCGTCGTTGTCGCCGTCGTCGTCCTCCCTCCTCCCTCGTCGTCGTCGTCGTCGTCGTCGTCATCGGTGTCGTCGTCGTCGTCGTTGTCGTCGTCGAAGTCGTTGGAGACATCGTCGGTGTCGTCGTAGTCGGTGTCGGCGGCGCCGTCGTCGTCGTTGTCGCTGTCGTCGTCGGCGTCGGTGTCGTGGCCAAGTGCCATGTGGTACCCACCGTCACGGTCTTGTCTTAAGAGGTCTTGCGACCAAGTTGCGGGTGGGAGGGTGGGATGTTTGCACGAGCAGTGGAGAGGACAGCTTCAAGACGGTCAAAGTGAATTGCACACCATATATTGTATCACATAGATTGCTCGTATAGATTCTCCTTTCTAGAATGGAGATAGGTTCTACCACCCCCCCCCCTATGAGCCGATGCAAAAAATGGAGATGGAGATCGATTCCTAAAATGGAGATCGATTCCCCGGGAGCCTATGCAAAACACATGTGATTCTGACCCAACGTCCATCCTACCTGTGAGTTCACACTATCCCAGCCAAGCCAGTGTCGGTCCCCCTCGGTTCTTTTGCAAAAAAATATTATGCGCACACTCGCTTATCAAAAATCAGCAGTTGCCAAGAATCTCTCGCAACAAATGCGACGAAGTGCACACGCGCGCGTCGTCGCAAGCCGAAATCCTCCAAAACGTTCGGTTTCGGAAGGATTCCAAAATCGAGTGTCCAGAAAAAAGTGGTTTCGCAACACGGGTGTTCAACAAAAGCGTGCGCGCTCTTGCGAATTCTTAAGGAAACCACTAGTTGTTCAACATGTTCATAACATGCTACCAAACGGGTTTCGCGCGCGCGCATGTCAAAATCGTTCGAACGCCCTTACGCGCGTGCTGGGTGGCACGATCCGTGTCAAATAATACCATGCGGGCCACTCTCGCGCGTCTGCAGCGCGCGCATTTCGAATTCCTTCCAAAGCCTTCATCACCAACGGGAAGACGCCGTCATCGTCGTCGGCGTGATCAGCATCGGCGCCATCATTGGCTGCCACGTCGTCGGCGTCAGCACCGTCACCAGCATCGCTACTATCATCATCGTGTCTACCGTTGTCGACGTGGCCATGATACCGCGCCCGCCCAACTGGCCGCTGCGCGCGCGAGCACGCGCGGGCTACAGCGGCTGCAGAGATGCACCAGCCAACACCCAGCACTCATCGCAATCGCTCCCGCATGGCTTTTGCAAACCACGTTGCGGGCGGGTGGGTGGGATGATTGCGCGAGCAGTGGAGTTGACAACTTCAAGTTCGGCAAGCGAACTGCACCACATAGATTGCATCACAGATATTGAACAGCAAAGATTGCACCACATCGATTGCACCGCATGTTGTACAGCGCAGATAGCACAACACATACTGCACAGCTTAAATTGCAAAGCAGATATTGCTCCACATATTTTGCATCACATACACTGCACAGCATCGATTGCACCACGCATGTTGCAACACTTTGTCCTGGGCCCCCCCTTTGCCCTTTGAGGCCGTCTCGAGACGCCTCTTAGGGGCTTCTCGGGGCGTCTTGGGGTCTCCTTGGGCCGTCTGGAGGCCAGCGTAAGCGTTTTGGATCGATCTTTCGGCGGCTCGTGACCCTCTTGGACCGTCTGGAGGGCCTCGGGGCCCTCTTAGCCTGTTTTGGGGCCCTCTGCCCCCTCGTGGCGCGTTCCAGCGGTCTCGGGGGGACTCCCCCTCCAAATCGACCGGACCGGGCTCCAAGCGGAGGGGTTTGGAGAGGGGGAAGCATCTCACACGCCGATGAACCCCAAGGGGTCGGCGGATTTGGGCCTCTCGGAGCCTCTTGTGGGCCTCTTGGATTTTTGGGGGGCACATCGGGAGCGTCTGGGGAGATCTTGGGGCCATCTTGGTGCGGAGGGCTCAAAATGTCAGTTCGTGTTCCCCCTCTTGGGGCTGTCTTGGGAGCCTCCTGGGTTCCTCTTGGGGGCTCTTGGGCCGTGTTTGGGCGATCGTGGGCGCCTCTTAGGCCGTCTTGGATTTTCCTGAAGACCAAAAATGCGGCCAATGCTAAAACCATGCAAGAACCAAAGGTGCGTGACGAGTTTGACCTCAAGGGCCTCCAAGACGGCCCAGGAGGCGCCCAAGAGGGCTCCAGGACCGTCCGCGGGTCCATCTTCGACTATGCTGGACATGCGCGTCCCGAACGACGCGCTCGTGGCCTCTCGAACGTCACGCGGGGACCCCCCGGTGGCGCCCGGGAGCGCGCGAGAGCGCCCAGGAGCGCGCGGGAGCGCCTGGAACTCCGGGCTGTCGGGCCCTTTTACAGAATGCGGACAGGTCTCAACACAGGGCTTTTTCGCGGGGACACATCAGGGCATTCCGACTCGTGCCTCGGGGCACGGTGGCGGAGTCTTGGCAGTATGACGTTACTCCTCTCGCTCCTCCTCCCCATCGTCTTCGTCCGCCTCCTCCCCCAGAAACGCTGCCGAATGTCAAGGCGGTTTTCCACTCGGCGGCCCAACCCGCACCGTCGCCGCAGGGCATCCCGCGCCCCCCAGCCAGAGATCTCCCACAGCGTGCAAGAGGAGACGGTGCGCCTATTGTGGAAGCCGCCGTGCCTTTCCTCGCTTGGGCTTCTTGGTTGCCGCTTGGATCGGGACCCACGCAACGGGGGTCAGCCACAACGGGGGTCAGCCAATCCCCTGCAGCTGACCAGGGCTTGGGATTAAGGAGCCACGTGGGCGCGATCCCCCCCTTCCGTCCTCCGCTGACTCGAGTCTGGGAGCTGCTGAGCGGCCGGCCGGGCTTCGCGACAGGGCCTTGGCCGAACCGTGGCTGCGCTGACCCGGGTTGGTGCGCCCCCGACTGGAACATCCGGGGAACGCGAAGAGGTTCTCGAAACGGCGGTGGCGTTGTTTGTTGAGGCTGTCTCGTGGATCGTTGTCGGCACGCTCTCGGGCGAGGCCACGGAGGTCGTCCGCACGGGGGAAGTCACGGCGCTCCGCAAGGGAGGCGACGGAGTGTGGCCGGTCATCGTGTGGTCTACAGTGAGCCGCTTGGGTTTGCCAGCTCAAGCGCAGGTCAGGAAGAAGGAGCTTCGGGATGCTGCCCGAGACGGGCAATACGTAAAACAGTGGCGAAGCGTCCTGGCTCGCCTATAGGCCAACCAAAGAATGTTCTAAGAACCGTTTGTGGCCTGCACGAACTATTATTATAACATGTCTGACTGCGACTGTCTTGCTTTTACATACCGGGGTTATGTTATAAGAGCAGTGCTTCTGTTATTAGAACACTTTGGGGTTCTAAGAACATGTCGTGGTAGTCCTATCAGAATGCCGGGACGGTCCGTTTCTGATAAAGACAGGCAATACGGAGTCGGGATGCTTCGAGCTCGTACTGCGGAAGGTGGAAACGCAGGCAGGAATGAGACCAACGGCGGCCTCCCCGAAGGTGGATCTGGAAGTTGCCTTCCCCTCCCTGGAGCGGGCGCCCTCCACAGAAGTCATGGCGGAGCGCGACCATGTGGCCGCGGCCGCCCTCCTTTCCTGGTACTGGCACCCGGCGACGCACCTCTGGCGCCATGCGGGGGGAGCAGTTCCATTCGCTTCACACCGAGGGGGGACTCGAAAGCACGGTGGCCGCCGGGGGGCGCCGAAAGCAGCGCGCCGCGGCCGTTGGGGAGCCGGCGGACCGAGACAGAGAGGAAATTGCAAGGACTCCGGGGGGGGGGAGCTGAAGAAGTTGCAGAAAAGCAGGGCTGAAGAGTCGTGCGGCGGCAGTCCTCCTGCACGCCTGCGCAGGGCGAGCGAGCCAACACTCCTTGCGCGTCGGAGCTCGCCACGGACACCGCGACGCAGCAGCACGACGGTTTGCTCATGGGTTGCTTACGTGACTTCTTGGAGCAGGATTTCGACGACGCAGCGAGGCAGCTATTGGGCCTCCCAGCCCAGCTCGGAGGCCTGGGGGCGCAACTGGCCAGTGCACGGCGACACGCGCCCTTCCAGGCCTTCTGGACGGCGGCGGCGCAAGAGGTCACGGAGGACCAGGACAGCGGGACACTGCAGTACCTTGGGCAGTCTTGCGCGCCCCTGCACACTCCTGCCCAGCCCCGTACGCCCGCGCACACTCCTGCAATGCAGACACAGTCGTGCACACGCCCTGCACAGCCCCGAGCACATTGCCGCTAGGCCCTTTCACGCCCGGGCGCAATCCTGCACAGTCCAAGCACGCTCCTGCACAGCACCCCTTCCAATCGGATCGATTAGGCACTGGCCCGGAGCCAGACCTCCCAGCTCGCCCCACCCCTTCTTTGGCGCCATGTCAGAACCAGGATTCGAAAACGCTTACGTAGGGCCTTGCACAGAAGGAAGCCCCGTGGCAGCGAAGCACCGACGCGGCAAAACCTCAGCGAGGCGGGAGCCTCCAGCGTCGCGCGAGCTTCCGGCGGGGCGCGAGCCTCTTGCATGCGGTGGGGCTCCTGCAGGTCACCGCGTCGAACGCGTTCAGTCCGGCCGCCCTCGTCGTCGCCGTCGCCGTTGTCGTCGTCCGTCGTCCAGGGGGGGCGACGGCGGTGGCAGGCGGTCCAGAGCTGCACGCTATGGTCCGCGGGGCGGAGCACGACCTGCGGCTCTTCGCCGAGAAGGACGGGCCACGCGCGCGCCAGCCCCGCGCGCTGCGGAGTGCGAAGGCGAACGCGCGGAGGGAAGGGTTCTAGCGGGCGGAGGACGGTACAGCTTAAAACTTGCACTGCCTCCCCGAGACAGGCGCGCCCTCGACGGCGGAAAAGTTTCTGTTTGGCCGCCATTCGCCCGCTTAGGGTCACCATGAAGAAAGTGGGCCCAGGAAGGAAGAAATCCTGGAGGTGTTTCGCCGTTTTTAGGCTCCCAGGGCCCCCTCCGGGCCCACGAACCGTCAAACGATTCTTCGGGGTGGGAAAGAAGCTCCGCGCAAAGCAGTTGGGCCCAGGACCAGTGTCCGCCAGTAACCCATTGCCCTTCCTGCCAGAGGGCGGAAGGCGGAAGGGGGGAAGGAGAGCGGGGGGGCGGCCACGGTTGACACACAGCTCGAGCATTGGCCAGGATGGCGTCCGGGAGGGAGGTCCCAGGGAGTGGTTCCGAGAGGGGAAGGGTGGGAGGACCCAAACCCCCAAGCGTGGCGAAAAGTCGCAGCGGGCGATTTCGTTCGCCGTTCCAGGCCATTCGGGGGGCCAGAGTGGTGGGCGAGAAAAGTAGCGGACGCCGGCGGCGGCGGCCACACGGCGGCGGCGATGACGACGACGACGACGACGACGACGATGACGACGATGGCAGCGGCGGAGAGGGTAGCGGCGGCGAGGGCAGCGAGTGCTGGGCGGCCAGCGGGCTGTGCCAGTGCCGGAGGAGGCGCAGCAGCGCGAGGAGCTGTCCGCCTTGGAGCTGTCGTTGGAGGAGTCCGCAGCCGCCCCGGCATCCGCCGTCGTCGCCGTTGCCGCTGCCGCCGTCGTTGTCGTCGCCGTCGTCGCCGTCGTCGCCGCCAAGGGCGCCATCGTCGTCGCCGTCCCCGCGTGAGGCGTGGACCCCAGGCATCTGGCGCCTCAGGAAAATCGAAGTGGCTGGTGCGTCGCCGAGGCCGAGATTTGGGGCCCCACGCCTCAGGAAAATCGAAGCGCTGTGTGCTGGGGGGGCCTTGGCATCCTTCGTCGCGAAGCATCACGAGCGACAAATATATCCATACATATATACATCTCCGCGCGCGAGGCCCGGGGGCCTGGGGGCCGGGCCCCGACAGCGCATGGGAGGACGGGGGCCTCCGAGACCGCTCCCAGAGCACCCCGGAGCCGCCCTGGAGCCCCCAGACTGCCCCAGGGAGCTTCAAGACGCTCCCAGAAGCCCCCGGGGGACTTCGACAAGCCCCTCCAAGACAGCCCAGATAGCCCCAACGTTGCCCAAGATGGGCTCGAGACGGCAAATACACAGCCCAAGAGGCCTCCCAGAGGCCTCAAGAGAGCTCCGAGAGGCGTTCCGAGAGAGCCCGAAGAGGCCCAAATCCTTGATTTTCAGTTTTTTCTATGTTTTTCGGTTTCTCGCGTTTTCGAGCTTCAACGCTCCAAGGCGACCGACAACGCCCCCAAGACCGGCCCCAGAGAGCTTGAAAATTGCCCAGGAGGAGCCCCAGACAGCTCAAGAGAGCCCTAGGACAGGCCCAAGTTGGAGGCCCCAAGGCGCTCCAAGCCGGCCCAGATGGCCGCAACGTGGCCCCAGATGGGCCCAACACACCCCCAAGACGGCCCCGGAGAGCCTGAAGACTGCCCAAGAGCAGCCCAAGACTGCCCAAGAGAATCCAAGGAGAGGCCCAAGATGGGCCCCAGAACGGGAGCAGAAGGCCCCAAGGCGTTCCAGGACGGCCCAGATGATCCCAACGTGGCCCAAGCGGTAAACACAGCGCAAGAGGCCTCCAAGAGGTCCCAAGAGAGCTCGGAGAGACGTCCCGAGAGAGGCCGAAGAGGCCCAAATCCTTGATGTTCCGTCGTTTTTCAATATTTCCCGCTTTCTCGCGTTCTCGAGCTTCCAACGGTCCAAGACGGCCGAAGACGCCCCCAAGGCCGCCCCAAGACCGCCGAAGAGGCCCCCCAAAGAGCCCTAAGACGGCCCCAGTGAGCCCGAAAATTGCCCAGGAGGAGCCCCAGACGGCCCAAGAGGCCCGAGGACAGGCCCAAGATGGGCCACAGAGCGGGAGTGGGAGGCCCCAAGGCGCTCGAAGACGGCCCATATGGCCCGGGCCTCCCCTTGCCTCCATTCCCTCCTCTCTCTCCTCTTCCTCCCCATCACCCCTCAGCTTTCGTGCTCCTCCCTCCTCTCCTGGGACGGCCCCGCCAGACCGCCGCACAGGCCCCGCCAGAGCGAGCGGGGCATCGCTATACCGTATCATTTCACAAGTTGCTTTGCCCCTCCCACCCCTCAAGGGCGGCCCCAGAGGAGCGAGAGGGGTGTTGCAATAACATGTACAGTCCGCTCTTTTTCTTGCTCCCCCCACCGCTCCCGAGGTAGCCCCGTCAGAGCGCACGTGGTGTGGCTATACCATAATGTTCCTCAGGTTTCGTGCTCCTCCCTCCCCTCCTGGGCAAGCCCCGCCAGAGCGCCAGAGAAACCCCCGCCAGAGAGAGCAGGGCATCCCTACAGCATACCATTTTACGCGATTCTTGCTCCTCCCACCCTGGCAGGGCGGACCCGCCCGAGCGAGCGGGGTGCGGCTCTACTATACAATGCTTCAGGTTTCGTGCCCCTCCCTCACCTCCTGAAAGCCAGAGCGCCGAGAAGGTACCGCCAGAGGCCCCGTCAGAGCTCCAGGCAGCCGCATACATGAGACTTGCCAGGCAAATCATTCAGCATCCCCCGCGAGCCCGAACCTTCTGATCCCACGGGTGCGATTATCGCCGGCATGAGGTTTGGCGCCCAGCAGAAGGAAGTTCCCCCACTCCCGTGGACGGACTCGACAACAACTGATTGCAGAGAAGGGTATTGATGACCGGGACATCTGCGCGCGCCTTCTGCAGATACCCGACAGCTGAACGACCGCTGAAAACGAGAAGTTTGGAACACAAGGGAGAGGAAAAAAAACAACGCGCCCCCACGCGCGCACAACGAGGCCCCAAGCCAACCCCAACATCAGGAGCCGGCAGATGTCTGCGTGATCGGGCATGGGGAGACCGAACAGATGTGCAAAAGCAGTGGGTGTCACGACGGGGCGGAGCGGAACTGAAAGTGGAGAAAACGCAGTTCGATAAACCAAACGAAGGCGGCAGCATTGTGAGATACGCGGGAATGTGGCGCCCCGCGTTCTGACTACGCTTTTCTTTGCGTCGATGGCATGGGCCCGAGAATGGTGGAAATCGTCGTTGTGGCCACAGCGGGGCTTACAGCGACACCCGTGGCTCACTTGCGACTAGAACCTAAGCGCGCGTAGTGCGCGCGTTGTTCTAGTACATGTATACATATATACATATACACATACATATATATATATATATATATATATATATATATATATATATATACATACATACATACATACATACATACATACATACATACATACACAAATACATACATACATACATACATACATACATATATACATATTTGAGGCAACCCACCTGGAGCAACAGATCTGGCCAGCGAGGGGGGATGAACGCACAGAGTTTTTTGACGGCCACCGGATCATAGAGAAACGTTTGAATTGCAATACGGATGCCATGACCTTGCCCGAGCTCCGGGAAGTAATCCGAAAAATTAAAGAGGCGCCGGGCGCCGGGGCCAGACGAAGTGCCCATGGAAATTTTCAAGGAAATGGACGACGAAATTCGTAGTGTCATTCTAACAGAGCTGAACATATGGCGGAGAGAGGAGAGTATACCAGAAGAGAACAAAACACAAGGGCCGTTTTGATTTACAAGGAAGGAGACATGGGCAATTTAAGCATATACAGGATCATTTCCATTTTGAATTCAATGTACAAGATGTTTTGCGGCCGTGCTACAGCGTCGCATTGCCGCCGCGATTGATCCGTACTTCCGAAAGGTACAATACGGCTTCCGGAAGAAGCGACGAACGGCACACGCAGTACACATCACGCGTCGGATTTTGGATTTGGGAGAGCGGACGAGCCGAAAAAATATTGTGATTTTGCTCGACTGGGAAAAAGCATTCGACAAGGTGTCGCACGCGGGGTTGTTGAAGTCTATGGAAAGGATGGGCATCCACGAGAAGCTCATTCGGCTCAAGCAAGAAGCGCACAATAATCCACAGTTCCACGTTGAAATGGAGGGCAGAAGCTCGAAAATGCACCGCCAACACACCAGCATCCGACAAGGCTGTCCTTTGTCCCCATACCTTTTTCTCATCGTTATGACAGCCATTTTTCGGGACGTACACAGCACGCCTGGGCGTCGTGAAACACTTGGTCACCACAGGGTATTGGGCACCCTATTGGATGAGATCCTCTATGCGGACGACACCATAATTTCTTCGGGGGACAAAGAGGCCTTGCAACAACTGCTACACGCAATCGAGAAGGAGGGCGAGAAGTACGGTATGGTAATGAACAAAACCAAATGTGAAGCCTTGTGCGTAGGGGGTCAAGACGTAATTCCCGACATAAAGGGCCAACAAGTGCCACCGCACAGCGAGTCGAAATATTTAGGCTGCATGTTGAACGACAAAGGCGACCTTGTCAGGGAACTGAGCAAGCGGATCTCCGACTGTTATGTCGCCTGGAAGAAATCGGGAGAGTTCTGGAAACATTCGGATTGCAGCGTAAGGCTCAAACCCGGCGTATATGACGCCGTCGTGCGCTCTAAGCTCATTTACGGGCTAGAGCGTGTGCAAGTAAATGATTCGCTTACAAAGTAATTTGACACGTTTCAGTCGAAAGGCCTGAGGCAAATTCTCAAACTCCAAACAACCTGCGTCAACAGTGCGAACACCAACGAATTTGTTTTTTTCACGGTGCCAATGAAGTAGCCAACAAATGGGGGGACAGAGCCAGGACCAACGACCGCGGATCCCCGCCTGATAAGAAAATCACACCAACCAGTGAGTACTATAAAGAGTGACGGCGAATGGTGATCGCCGATGTCATCATTGCGCAACCTTCTGATCTCATTGCAGACATTTGCATTCATAGCGATGCACTACGACTCAAGGATTACGGAACTAGGCGGGTGGGGAGACCCAGGACCAATTGGTGGAATTTTGGCATATCAATGTATTGACATCATCTCACATTACATCACCTTCCCACACACAGGGGCGAAGAATTCTCATTCGACCGTGCTGACCATGTCAGGCTGTTCAAGGAAGCCGCGAGAGAGGAGAGGGGGCTTTCCTCATCCTGGGTGGGGGTGGATGGAGGAGGAGGAGGAGGACAAGGACGACGACGAGCCATCAAGCCGCTAGCTGCCTGTATTGTGTTTCTGGGCGGCACGCGCGGTGCTTTCTCACTCGGACAACGGCGTCTGGATGGGAGTGCGCTCTGCGTTTCTGCCACCGGGAAAATACATAGTTTGTTATATATATATACACACCAACCTACTTACCTACTTGTCTACATACATACAAACATACATACATATTAAGTACATGCATACATACGTACATGCATACATACATGTCTGGACACCAAAGCCTGAGGCAGTGCACCTCAGTGACCTCGCGGGCACACGTGGAAGCGCGCCGCCTGCTGCACGCGGGGCTCTCACGCAGAGGCCGCGATCGCAGATGCGCGTGCCTGCCTGTCGCATGCGAGGCCGCTCGCAACGGGCTGCCATGTCTGAGAGATCACTGCCGCAGAGGCCAAAGCTTCCAGCGCCTGGAAAAGTCCATCCCCGCACGGGCGGGGCGCGCCGGGCGCGAAGTCGTCGTCGTCGTCGTCGTCGTCGTCGTCGTCGTCGTCGTCGTCGTCGTCGTCGTCGTCGTCGTCGTCATCGTCGTCTTCAGTCGTCGTCATCGTCGTTTTCAGTCGTCGTCGTCGTCTTCCGTCATCGTCGTCGTCTTCAGTGGCCGCCGTCCGTTCTCGCCTTTGGGGGCCCCGGCGCCGGGCACCAGGACGAGAGCCCCGCCCTCGGCACCGAGAGAGGGCCCGGGCCTGCGGGGGGGCGCGCCCCCCCCGGCGGCCAAGCTGGCCCGAGCGCCCGGGCGCTGAAAGCACGACGTCGTCGTCGTCTTCGTCGTGGTCGTCGGTGGCCACGTTGGCCCGAGCGCCGCTGGGCGAGGCACGGAGGGGCCATGTCGCAGTTCGAGCACGTGCTCCGGCAGGCCAGCTCCGGCAAGTTCGCGTGGGTCGGGAAGGCCGCGCTGGGCATCGCCGGGTGCCTGCCGGCGTACTTCGCCTACGAGTGGGTCTCCACGAGGCGGAAGGTCAGCCATTATGGGCAGTTTGTCGGAGACAAGGTCTTCTTGGACGTCTCCATCGACAAGCAGTACGCGGGGAGGATATTGATCGGGCTCTACACCGAAAAGGTGCCCCTGACATGCGAGAATTTTCTGCAGCTGTGCAAGGGTTACAAGGTACGCGACCGCACGCTCGGCTTCCGCAACACGTTTATCCATAACATCAGGCCTGGCGCCGCCATCGTGGGCGGCGATGTGCTTACGGGCAACGGCAAGTCCAGAGGCATGAGCATCTACGGTGATTCTTTTCCGGATGAGAACTTTGACATGGAGTTCTTGCGAGACGGGGACGTGGCCATGGTGAATTGGGGCAAGAACACGAACAGCTCGTTTTTTATGATCACGCTCTCCTCGCAGCGCATCTACTACGGGCACCACGTCGTCTTCGGGACCGTGCTCAAGGGCATGCGAGTGGTCCGCGAGATCGGCGAGCTCGGCACTCGAGTTGGGCGGCCCGCCTTGCCCATCCGAATCATCCAGTGTGGCGTGGTGGAGGATCGGGGTGGGGGGGAACGAGGGAGCCAGGCTACCTCCGAGAGAGCTAAGATGACTGCGTTTCGCGCGTCGCGGCCAAGGGCGCCGAGCTGGCCTTCTCCAAGGGTTGCGCGAGGGTGGTGCAAAGATCACCGCCCATGGCGGACTGCGCACGACGGGGCGCGGAGCTGGGAGACCCGTGCACGATCACGCTTCCGATGATAGTTCGAAGTCGGTGGGGGAGGACATCAGAGCCGCTACAAGAACAAATGAGGCAGTGTGATTGGTGGGCGTCCAGGAAACCTTGTTGAGAGCAACCGTCCAGCCTTCCCGCACAAGACACAAGACCTCCAGAAACGGCCGAGGGCCGCCGAAGACAGCTGAAGGCCGATGGGGCAAAAAAATATCCCAGCGCGACCCTACCTAGGAGTTGGAGCATTGAGGAAAGCAACATCTACATATACACCGACAGCTACAGTTACATCTACACCTGCATCTACATCTACATCAACATCAACAGCGAGACTCACATCTACATCTACAAATACAACTACATCTACATCTACACCTACACCTACACCCACATCTACACCTACACCTACATCTACATGTACATCTACATGTACACGTTCGCATTGGTTTTGCTTTTGTGTTGCATTGCCTTTGCGTTTGCTCTTGCCTTTGCTTTTGCCGTTGCCTTTGCTGTTGCTTTTGCTGTTGCGTTTGGTTTGCTTGTGTGTTTGCTTTTGCTTGATTGTGTTTTTGCTTTGCGTGCGCACAGACACACACACACACGCACGCGCTATGATGTGTTATGATATGTTACGCTATGATATGCTAAGCTATGCTGCGCTATGCTAGGCTATGATATGATATGATATGTTGCGCTATGATATGCTATGCTATGATATGCTATGCTATGTTGCGCTATGATGTGCTGTGCTGTGCTACGCTATGCTATGCTGCGCTGTGCTATGCTAAACAAGTTTATGAAATGTTATGATATGCTATGATATGCTGCGCTATGCTATGATATGCTGGGTTATGATATGCCATGCTTGGCTGTGCTGTGCTGTGCTGTGCTGTGCTAATGCTGCGCTAAGCTAAGCTAAGCTAAGCTAAGCTATGGTACGCTCAGCTATGCTAAGCTAGGCTAGGCTAGGCTGAACTAAGCCAAGCTAAGCTAAGCTAAGATGAGATAAGTTAAACTAAGTTAAGCTAAGCTAGGCTAGGCTAGGCAAAGCTAAGCTAAGCTATGCTAAGCTAAGATGAGATAAGCTAAGCTCAGCTAAACTATGCTTAGCTAAGCTAACCTGGGTGATCCCAGGGGGCGCAACTGGGGGAACCGCGGGGCGGATCCTGGGGGAACCGCCCGGGGCGTGGAACACTGCCCGGCCGTTTAAGCCAACACAGTAAGAACCCTTCTAGGCAGAGCCTACGTAGGGAAAAAAAAGGCTCGTGGTCGAGCACGTGATGACTGGGCTGCCTTTCGGTCCCACCTGCCCGTCCTTGCTCTTCGGAGCATCGGCGGCGAGCCCGAGGGGGAAGGGAGGAGGAGAAGGCCTTCTCAGAAGGCTCAGAAGTCCCCCCGGCCCTCTGAGAGGTTTTCCGAGCCCCTTCCCTTGAGACACAGAAAACTTTCCAGAAGGCGCGAGGGCTTCTGAGAAGTCCCGCCGCCTCTCCCTTCCCCCCCTCGCTCGCCACCGAGAGGAGGGCGTGGAGCCGCCTCCGCCCCCGACGGACTTCCTGATGAAGGTCGGACCGCTGATGACGGAGGACGAGTTCCGGGAGGCCAGGGCCGAGGGCAAGGGCGGGGTGAGGCAGCCGTCCTGATCCGCGGTGGCAGCTCTGCGGCGGGCTCGTGCCGCGTCGGCGCGGTGGCGACGATGGCACGGGGCGTCCATCGGCGGCGAGCGAGGGGGGGAAATGAGAAGGAGAAGGCCCTCTCGGAAGGCGGCGGGTCTTCTCAGAAGACCTCGCCCCTTCTGAGAGGTCTCTTGGCCTTCGGGGAAGGCTTAGAAAACTTCTCAAAGGCCAGGAGACTTCCGAGCCTTCTGAGAACGCCCCCCCCGTCTCACTTCCCCCTGGGCTCGCCGCCGAGTCCAGGGTTGCACTACCTCCTCTTCGGGCCCCGGGAACTTCTGAAAACACTTCGCGGCGTGAAGTCGATGCAGAAGATGTGGTCGAAGGCATCTTGGGGCTTCCGATGCAGTCCGACTGTGGCGCCGATCTTTCCAGATTGGACGGTTCATTACAAGCCAAGGGCCAACGTCGTCAAGGCAGGAACGTGCCGCAGGCAGAACTCTCTCTCTCTCTCTCTTTCCAACTTCGTCTTTTTATCTCTTTGATGCTCATTCTATCTCCTCCACACCTCTACCTTCTCACGATGCGCCCTCGTCGCACTGCCAGGGCCCATTTCGATCCGATTGGTTTAATTCGATATCGGCTCTGGCTGGCTCTATCCGATTCGATCCCGATATTCCGACGATGTTATGTGGCCTTTTTTACATGGCGGCGTTGTGCAGCCGATTCGACCCCATTCCGACCCCGTGCCCATACAGCCCGATCCGACGCGCACTTCTGGTCGACCCGATTTCCCGACGTCATGTTCGTTCATCTTGCACCACCAGGCGTTCGATCACGACGAGGCGAGATCTTCGCCTCGGATTCCCTTGCCCATGCCGCAGGTGTTTTCAAGCGGGGCACGGCGAACGACTACGCCCGCGGGGGGCTGCCCGTGTGGTCTTCGCACAGCTACACGGATGGAGGGTTGCTATCGTCTCAAGATCGGGATCTCGCGTGGAGCACGCTAGCCGCAGGGATTGTTCACACACAGAATGTACACGGATCGAGGGCGGGACGAGGTTCCCGTTCGGGTCTTTTTTCTGGAAATCCCAGGCATGGATGTGTGTTGCCCCCCGCAGTTGCACCGAAGTAGGGCGAGTCGTTTTCACGAAAACGTTCTCGTTCTCGTACCGCGGAAGTCTTGAAAGATTGGCAACAACGTTTTCATGGATGGTGGCCGATGTGTCATCAAAGTATCTCGTGCTTGAGCGGCACTACGTTGTCCGACGCTTGTTCGCATGTAGTTTTGAGGACGTGACTTGGGGCAGGAAGGCATGCTGCAGCAACGGTGATGCGTTCGGGCTTTATCCTGGTCCACCTTCCGTTGCCCCCCTCCTCGTCCTCTTCCCACTTCTTGACGCTTCGCCAGGCGAGTGTTCTGACCAGGGGTGTGTAGCAGCATGCAGTCACGCTCTGGGGTGAAGCCATTTTGGTGTCATTCTGGGAAGCCTTTGTCGCTGTCTTGCAACGCTCTTGGAGGTCCCTGGGGCCGCTCTTGAGATCCTCTTGGGGGGAATAAAAACAATTAGTGGACCCGCCGCCGCTGCCGCCCCCTGCGGCGGGTCCGCTGATTATTTTCCCCCAGCAGCCAGGACGCAGGCATCTTGCTGCTTTTCACCCTGTGTGTGGAAACTTGGGGGCCCTCCTGGGGCCATCTTGGAAGCTATCGGTCAAAGGGGGGGGCCCAAGTATCCCCCCCCCCGGAGCCTTCAAACTAGCATCTTGGGGAGCTCTGAGAAAGGTCTTGGGCGCTGTTGGGGCCGTATTGGGCCCTTCTTGGGGCTTTTTGGGCCATCTTGGAGCCATCTAGAGACTTCAAGAGCCCATCGGGAACGATCTAGCGAGAAAGCGAAAATCATTGTCAGTCCTTCGGTTTGGGAAGGATGTTGGCGTCTGTGGGGGCCTCCTTGGGAGGCTCGGAGGGCTCTTGGAGCTGTCTTGGGGCGGTCTTGGAGGCTCTAGGAGGCGTATTGGAAGCTATGTTTGACCATCTGGTGCTATCTTTAGCGATCTTGGAGGCCAACTTGGGCTCTCTGGGGTCATCATGGAGCCATCTTGGGCCATCTTGGACGCTCCGACCCCTCGCAGAACGCCCCCTCCAGACCCAGAGGGGGGCGAGGAGGGAGGGGGATCCCCCTCCCCGAAGGGGAAGAAGGGGGTTAGCAGAACGAGCTCGTCAGACCACTCACGCCCAGAGGGCTGGTGGGATCTCGCCGGTGGGATCTCGCCTTCTCCCTCTTTTTTCCCCGGAAAGGGCCTGAGCCCAGGGTTCTCTTTTAGTTGGTTTCCCCCCGGTTTTGACGGCTGTAGGGCCGGCGAATTTCTTTTGCGATAAAGAACGAGGTCGCGTAGGGCCGGCGAATTAAAAATTGAGGATGTCCTTAGCGAAACGCTTGTTTTTGAAATCGCGATCGATAAATCACAGGGTGCGGGACACGTTTTGGTCAGGGGCATGGCCCCAGGAAGCCCCAGGAGGCCCCAGGATGTTTAGGGAATGCCTAGGAAGCTCCAGGAGGCCCCAGGAGAGCCCAGGAGGCCCCAGGAGGCCCCAGGACGTCCCAGGACGTCCCAGAAGGCTTCAGGAGGCCCCAGAAGGCTCCAGGAGGCCCCAGGAATGCCGAGGAGGCCCGAGGAGGCCTTAGGAAGGCCCAGGAGGCGAAAGGGGCGAAAGGGACCCACATGTTTTCACACTTGTTCCGCTCAGGGGCGAAAGGGAGCCACGTGTTTTCACGCTTGTTCCGTTCAGGGACGAAAGGGACCCACGTGTTTTCACGCTTGTTCCGCTCAGGGGCGAAAGGGACCCACGTGTTTTCACGCTTATTCCGGTCAGGGGCGAAAGGGACCCACGTGTTTTCACGCTTGTTCCGCTCAGGGGCGAAAAGGGACCCACGTGTTTTCACGTTTGTTCCGCTCAGGGGCGAAAGGGACCCAAGTGTTTTCACGCTTGATCCGCTCTGGGGCGAAAGGGACCCATATGTTTTCACGGTTGATCCGCTCTGGAGCGAAACGCTTGTTTTTCAGAATTTGTTGAGGATGTCTCAAGCGAAACGCTCGTTTTGTGCTATAGAGTGTCCTCTCCTGGGGACCTGAATTCTGAGGATTTCTCAAGTGGATTGCTTGTTTTCACGTGCCCAGGTCTTGAGGATGTCTCGAGCGAGACGCCTGGTTTCACGCCTCCAGGTGGCCCAGACAGATGTCTAGCATGAGGATTTGTTGAGGATGTCTCGAACCAGAGGCTTGTTTTCACGTGTCCAGGTCGCCCAGGCGGATGTCTAGCATGAGCATTTGTTGAGGATGTCTCGAGCGAGACGCTTGTTTGCACGTGTCCAGGTTGCCCAGGCGGATGTCTAGCATGAGGATATGCTGACAACGTCTTGAGCGAAACGCGTGTTTTCACGTGTCCAGGTCGCCCAGGCACAGCACAGCCCTCGGCACGGTACATCAATATCGATACCCTGAGCATTGCAGCCTGGCATGTTGCCTGGCACGTTCCGCGGAGCGTCCCGTGGCGAGTCCCCTGGCACGTCGCGCGGTGCACGTCCATTGGCACGTTCCGTAGCGCGTCCCCTTGGCACGTCCCGCGGTGCGTGCCCATGGCACGTCCCCTGGCACGTCGCCTGGCGCGTCCCTTGGGACGTTCCGCGGCGCGTCCTCCTGGCATGTTCCCTCTGTCGATTAGTTCTGGGGCAGCTACCATCTGCTCAGGCAGCTCGAGCTTACGATCCAGATCAGTTCGGTGAGGACTCGGATGCCAGGGAGGACTCGATCCACAACGCTATACAGAGCACAATCGCGGCATGGCACATCGCAGTTCAGCACGGCCCAGCACAGCACAGCCGTCGGCACGGTACATCAAGATCGATACACTCAACTATGCACCTTGGCACGTTCCTTGGCGCGTTCCTTGGCGAGTCCACCTGGCACGTCGCGCGGAGCGTCCCCTGGCACGTCCCTCGGCACGTCCACTGGCACGTTCCGTAGCGCGTCCCCTTGGCACGTCCCGCGGTGCGTGCCCATGGCACGTCCCTTGGCACGTCGCCTGGCGCGTCCCTTGGGACGTTCCTCGGCGCGTCCTCCTGGCATGTTTCCTCTGTCGATTAGTTCTGGGGCAGCTACCATCTGCTCAGGCAGCTCGAGCTTACGCTCCAGATCAGTTTGGTGAGGACTCCGATGCCAGGGAGGACTCGATCCCCAACGCTATATAGAGCACAATCGCGGCATGGCACATCGCAGTTCAGCACGGCGTAGCACAGCACAGCCCTCGGCACAGTACATCATCATCGATACATTCAGCATTGCATGTGCCCGTCGCCCAATCAGGTGTCTTTGAAATGTTGCAATGCCTTACATTTCTATATTCCTTTCCGGGTTCGTGGGTCGATCAGGTTTTGTTTATCTCTCTCTCTCTCTCTCTCTCTCTCTATCTATATATATGTGTGTGAATGTGTGTATGTATGTTTGGATTCCTCTCTCTCTCTCGTGTTTCTTTATAGTAAGCCTCCCTGTGTATAACATTATTGGATTGCATATAGTATGTGCACTATCCTTCCTGTATGTGTATATGTACACTCTGGCTCTCTCTCTCTCTCTCTCTCCCCCGTCCCCCTCTCTTTCTTTATTGTGTGTTCCTTTCTCTCTCTCTCTTTCTCTCTCTCTCTCTCTGTATATATGCATGTCTTAGGTATGTAAATCGATGTGAATGGGTAGTGAGTGAATATGTTTATGTAGATATATATACACTTATGTGTCGTTATCTCTCTCTCTCTGTCTCTCTCTCTCTCTCTCTCTCTCGCTCTCTCTCTCTCTCTCTCTCTTTGTCTCTCTCGTTTCTCGTTTCCTCTCTCTCTCATCCCCCTCTCTGTATATGCATATAAATGTTTACTCTGCCTCGCTCTCTCTCTCTCTCTCTCTTCCCCTCCCCCTCCCTTCCTCTCTTGTTTCTCTCTCTCTATCTCTCTATTTCTCTCTTCTTATCTATCATATGTGTGCACTGGTACCTATACATAGAGTTGTATATGTCTATCTAGATATAGGTATAGCGTTCTCTCTCTCTCGTGCTTTCTCTCGGTCTTACTATATATATATATATATATATATACATATATATAGATATATGTATATATGTATATCCCTCGCTCTCTCTTCCTTCTTTCTAGACAGATATGTATTTAGTTATTCAATCGTTTCGCTCATTCCGCCGGCCCTGGAGCGCTATTTGGGGCCTCTTGGGGCCGTCTTGGGGGCCTCTTGGGGGCTTCTTGGGAGCGTCTTGGGGCTCCTTGGCGGCATCTTGGGCTCCCCTGGGACCTCTTGGGGGGCTCTTGGGGGCCCCTTGGGGCGGGAGGGGGGTAGTCGATTGCAGCCGCCCCCTTGGAGGCCACGATCCTCGTGAGGGGTGGCGAAAAATAGCCTCCCCCCTGGGGATCGCCCGGGACCCGGCCAGGACCCGGCCGGGGATAGGCCGGGGTATTTTTCGTCCGGGGGC